TTTGAGCCAAGCATTTGGAAAAGAGAATGATCAGTGAAAAGAGGATGATCAGTGGAAGGTTTTTTGTGTTTACCCCAGTGCACACCTGCCAGGGTGTGTGTCTGTGAACACGGTGATTCCACAGGGTGTTTGCAAGTGATTAGGTGTTCTCAGAATGTGGCTTCAGCTGTCACTGCCAGACTCCTCTGCTCAGTGGCCACCTCCCAGTCACCACTAGGCAGCCTCAGATCTGTCCCCAGCTGCTCACCCAGGACAGCAGCATCACACTCACCCTGGGGAACCTCCACTCTTCCCACAGTACAGGCACCCTCTGCCCTCCCTTGCCCGTGGTAGCTGCTTTTATCCTGGTGGAGGAGAGGAACTGGGGAGAGTTTCTTTGTAGCATTTGGTTCTTTGCACTTTAGTGGCTGAAACAGAGGGACCTTGCACCAGCCCTTTCCAGAGCACCAGCAAACAGAGGCAGTGACCCAAGGACTTTCCCTTTGTGACTTTCCAGTGGCTAAAATGGCAGCCAAAGCAGTCCAGCTTGGGCAGGTCCAGCCTTGGCATTTACTCTGGGTGTGTTACACGGGCTGAGCCCCCTGTGCAGGGGCAGGGAAGGGCTGTGTCTGGCACAGAGGCTGTGTGGGCACACACTGAGCCCAGGCACCTGTGAGCTCCGCTCACTGAGCCATGGTGGCAGCAGAACCAACCAAGAGAATGACTGAGGCACACCTTGCTGAAGCCATCCCACAAGCTCTGCAGGAGCTGGTTTTTGTGGTTGCTTGGGCACCAGGTGTTAGGATATCTGCCCATGGGGACTTGAGGTCCCACTAAATGCCAGCTTGGAGCTTCAAATCCTTCAGCAGTTTTTTTCTTTGAGGTGTTGCTTCTGACCCAGTGCTGCACGCTGGTCTCTTCTTTGGTGATTCCATCCTCTTGACCTGGAGCTGGTTTTAGCTTTGGAGCCAGAGAAAGTGAGGTTTGGAGGGTGAATCTTAAGGCATGTTCCCCTAGCCTCACCACACTGGGATTGTCTTCCTCCTGCTCCCTGCATGGTGAAAGGGCATCCTGGGGATGCAGTGCCTCCCCTGAGACCCCTCACGCAGCACTGCCATGGCCTGCCACCCACCAGGGATGCCCATGTCCTGCCAATGTATTCAAACTGCTCCCTTTCCCATCCTTGGAAGGAGCCAGGGCTCCTCTTCAGGGCTGGGCAGCCCAGGCAGGCAGGAGGTGCCATCCCTGACAGCCAGGAGAGGACAGGGAGCTGCCTCTGGGCTGGGAGAAGGGAGCTCCCAGCGAGCTTTCCTCCGCCTTCCCTTTGCTTTCCCCAGCACCCTCTGCTCCCTCCACGGGTCCCCACTGCCCTCTGGACTCGAGGCCTTATTCCAGCCCGAGGGGGCTGAGGCTGCCCACGCATCCCTGCACTGACACACCGATCCCCCTTGGCATGGCAGAGCTGGCCTCTGCTCGGGGGTGGGTCAGCCATCCCCTGCCCATCCCTGCCCCTACCCCACTGCCAGGGCCTGGCCACTGCAGGGAAATCTGCTTTCACAGGTTCAACCTTTTTACTTCATTACTCCTCCACAAAACCCAGTGACTTTGCAGGCGCACTGCAACACTCCTCTTGCTTTACCCTAGGAGTGGGGGCAGCTGAGATCTGCTCTTTTTGGCCTCTGCAACCCTCTCCAAAACTTTCTGGAGGTTTTTAACATCATTTGGTGGGGTGTAATTTCTGTGGAGCCAGAGGGAGCACAGGCAATGGAGCTGGCAGCCTGCTAGCCCAGGTGGCTTGGAGGTGCCTGGGCTGCCTTGGGTGGAAGGTGGGACACTGGCCACTCGTCTGTAGTCAGGAGAGGATTCTGCTATACTTTTTTCCTGTCTGTAGGTTTTATTCAGACAATATGTAATGAATAAGTGATTTACAATTCAGTGTTAAGCTAATGAAAACGTTGATAATGGTGATAATAAAACCTTTTTTTTTCCTATGGTGTGTTGGAGGTTTTCTGTGGAGTGTGTCTGCTCTCTCTCTTGTCACCACTGTTATCTTCAACCTGGGATTTCAGCTGGACCCATCCTTCTCCTTGTGCCTGTAGGGGATGAGAGCAACTCAGCCTGGTGTGTCCAGTGCTCTGTGGAGGGGCTGTCACTCCGGCTCCCTCAATCAGCCCCAGCTTCAAACCTGCATTTCCCTGAGCCACTTCTGGATGTAATTTGGCTGTGAGCATCTCCAGGCACAGAGCTGAGCTTGCTCCCACTTGTGCTCTGCTCACCACCCCAGTCTAAAGCTCCTGCTGTTTTCTTTCTGTGACCCTTCATGGTCAGCCCTGGCCATTCAAGGGTGATTTTGAAACCCTGGAAGTGAAGACTTTGTTGGCAGAAAAAAGCCATCCCTGGCCCAGGCTGTTGGGAACATCCAGGGTGGGTGCAGGGGAGCCTGGGGACCCCAGGGAAGGACCCTCAGATGTTACTGGGTCTGCAGCTGTGCCTGGATGACCTGGAGCTGTGAGCCCTTGGGTGGGAATTGTTTGGGGGATGCTGCTGGAGGGGTCTGTGGAGGAGGTGGTGGTGCTGACAATAGGCACCGTTCTCTGGGCAGCTACTGCAAGTCCTTGTCCTGTGGGAATGAGGGATCACAAAGCCATAGTTCACTAAGGATTTCTTAAAAGGTGTTTGTCATGCCTCCAAATCCCTCTGCAGGTCACCAGGGTGAGACCAAGGGGCAGCTTCCCTCCTGCCCCAGTTACAGCCCCTGGGGGAGCAGTGATGGAAGGAGGAGGAGGAGGAGGAGGAGGGGGGTGTCTCCAGAGTGTCAGGGGGCAGCCCAGCATCTCCCACCCTCAGACCACTCCCGGTTTCCCAAGCAGCATGGGGCTCAGGCTGTCACTGAGCAGCCAGGCAGTGCTGCCTGGAAGCTCAGGCCACATGGGAGCAGCAGCTACAGGCAGCTGCTGTCACCTCACACCAGCACTGCCCCCCAGGCTGTGGAGGTCACACCGCCAGCCCTGCTGCCTCTGCTTGGCTGCATTGTGGGCTCTGGGACACAACCACGGAGCCACTGAGCTTGGGCAGTGCCCTGCTGGATCCAGAGGGAGAGTGCAAGGCTGGCTCAGCCTCTGGGGTCAGGTTTTTTCCTGCTTCAGCTCCACCAGAGGTGGATCTCACCAAGGCAATACCACGCAGGTGACTTGAGCAGGAATCAAGAACCTGCTTCTTTCCACAAGGGTGGGTGAGGGTGAGAGGTGGCCACTGGGAGAATGTACACGGCTCAGCGTGGAAAGAGGGAGAGATTTCCATCTGCTCAGCTCTGATGGCAAAGGGCAGCACAGCAACGGCCAAACCTTGGGCTGAAATCTGTGGGGAGGATGGGGGAGATGGGACGTGGCAACAAAAGGGCTGAGCTGGTGGGATCAGCGTGAAGTGACACACTGAAGCCAATGAAAGCCTCATTTTTAAGCCTGTTTTCCACACTCACAGCCTGCTTTGTTCCCCCCTCCTCCCCCTTTCCCCTTTAATCCAAGGCTCCCCCAGCTGGGGCAGGTCTGGGCTCACTGCTGCAAATGAGGCAGTGGTTGGACCTTGCAGCCCCTGGAATGGCACCCACCCAAAGGGCCTGGGAGCACCCAGGTGAAGGTGTCACAAACCAGCCCCTGGTGGCAGCCTGAGTGCCCACAGGGATTTGGAGTTTGGGGCTTGGACACATCCCTTTGCTCGTCCTTGTAACAAATAATCAAGCACCACCTGATGGATTCACCTTTTATTAAGCTGCCACCCAGAACAAAAGGAGGAGAGAGCAAAGCCTGCCCTGAGACCTTTGCAACGCTGGCAACTCTGCATGCTTTCCCCACCAGGAAAAGGGGCTATTTCTCCACAAAAACCCCCTCAGAGGGTATTTTAAATAGAACTGAGAGTTAAAATGTCCATTATTGGAGGAAAAAAAATCAATAGAGCTCCTACCACTGTCAGAGCCCTGCTTTCATGCAGATGAGAGAGGATGGACAAAGGCCACGCTGGGGTCACCAGCTGGAAAGAGCTGCCCAGGTGTGGCTGTGCAGGTACCACATCCCACAGGGGGATGAATGAGGAGATGGGACACCCCCACCTCAGATAACCCCAGCAGCAGCAAGCACACACCCATGGGCTCACAGGGACTGGGAGGAGGTGAGGAGCCAGCACAGCTGCTGGGCTGCCAGCTGGAGGAAAGGTGGGGAAGGAATGAAGGGGTGATTTTAGCTAAGGAAAAAACATCTGCTTAGGACCAAGCTGTTTGCAGTTGACTGCAGTTCAGGAGGCTCTCCCTGGGGCTGCCCTCAGTATAGTCTGGGCTCAGCACAGAAGGGAGCTGGGGCTGGGCTGGGCTGGACTGGAGGAGTTCAGCTTCCCCTGGAAATGGGGCACAGTGTCCCTCCAGCCATTTCAGCCAGGAGGATCTACTCGTGGTGGGTAGGTATAAGAGACAAGGTGTGCTGGTGGGCAAGTGGGTGAGTGCATGGGCCTCCAGCTTCCATAAGCACTGAGCCAGCCACAAGCCTGAGCTCAGATCCAGAGGGCTGCTCACAGGAGGTGAAGTTCCTCCATGAAGCTGTCCCTATGTGCTGAGCTTCAGGACTGCAGCCCATTCCCTCCTGCCCACCTTTCCCTGCCCACCCACCAGCTGCAATCCTACTCTGTGCCACTGACTTACCTGCACCTGGGGCCAGGGGACAACTTGGTGATCCCCAGCCTTGCAAGGCTTGCTCACACACACTTTGCTTTTGACAGTCTCAGCAAATGCAACCCAGCCCATGGAGCAAGAGTCATGTGGCAGCAGGCACAGCCAAGGCTCAGCAGGGTGGGAGGGCAGCAATGCAGCCTTTGGGGAGCAGGGAGGTGGGACAGCAAACCTGCAGCTCACTGTGGTGGGAAGGGGGGGAATTCACATTGGGGTGTGGGGGGGGGGGGCTCTTGCCAGTCCCAAATGTTTTCCTCCCTACTTGGGAGGAAAAAACAAAGAAAAACTAACGATGTCACTCAGTGCCTGCAAAAAAGGAATCATTATTTCCCGACAGGATTTAGAGGCTCCTGCTGGGGGGAGGGAGAGGAACAGAAGAAATGAGTAAGAAGAACCTGACATCTCTGTTCTTAATTTATCAACATAGTAAGACTGGAGCACTGAGTGTGGCTCAGCACACGCTCCTAGATGGATCTCCTCCGCAGCCGGGGGTGCCGCCGGCAGCGGGGGCTGCTGGAGGACAAAGTGCTCCCCGGGGAAGAGCCGGTCTGCCCCCGCGTGCTCAGGGACACCTCGTCGATTTTGTAGGAAATGGAGTTGTAGTACACGGGGTTGGTGTGGCAGCTCAGGGTCTCGGGGTGGGAGGGCGCCGGGCTGCCGCACACCTGGGGCCTGTAGCACAGGCAGGTGCAGAAGGACGGCACCTCGGCCGCAGACACGGCCGACTGCCGCCGCTGCCTCTCGGCCTCCTCCTGCACCAGCGGGATCAGGTTCATCTGGCTCGTCCTGTCCTCCGCAGGGAGAAAAATGGCGTTGCTGCTGCGGCTGTCCTCTTTGGGCTTGAGGTGGATGTTGTTGCGGGCCCTCCTGAGCGAGGCTCGCTCCTCGGCGTCGCGCCGCTCGTCCTCCGAGTTCATGGTGAGGAAGCGCAGCACCACCAGGTTGAGGAAGGCGCCGATGACCGTCAGGCCCACCAGGATGTACATGAAGCTGAAAGCCACGTACGGGGGCTTCTTCTGCAAAGCCTCGTTCTTCTGCAGAGCCACAAAGTCTCCAAAGCCAATAGTGGTCAAGGTGATGAAGCAGTAGTAATAGGCGTGGAAGAAAGTCCAGCCCTCGAAATAAGAGAAGGCTGCGGCGCCAATGCACAGGGTGCCCATGCAGGACAGAAAGCCCACCAGGACCATGTTCTCCATGGACACATGGGTTGTCCTCATGCCCAAACACTTCTTGATCTTCTTGAGCAGCAGCCTCACGACGGTGTTCATGCGCTCCCCCAGGCTCTGGAACATGACCAGCGTCAGGGGGATGCCCAGGATGGCGTAGAACATGCAGAACACTTTGCCAGCGTCTGTGCCTGGAGCAGCATGCCCATAACCTGTCAAGGACACAGGGAAGAGGAAAGGTGGCATCAGACCCTCACTGGGGTTTCCAGCAAGGCTGCCCTGTGACCAAGAGGAGCAGTAGAAAAATGGGGGAAGAATGGAACTCAATAACAAATCTGTAGGCAATGCTAATGGGGCCATGGATGCCCATCCTTTGGGATTATGGCACATTTGTGTAGGCAGAACCTCATCTGACCCCTAAAGAGAGAAGGTACCCTCCTGATAGCCCTCAATGTTGCAGAGGCCAAGAGGAGGCCTAGAGCTGGACTGGGGTTTGCAACCTTCCTGCAGCTCACAAATAATTCAGAGATTGATGCTGTGCCAGTGCCAGGTGTGCAGGGTAACCTGAACCCCACAGCGAGGGGGAACAGAGACTCTGCAAGATGCTGAGACCAACAGTGCCAGATCACCCTGTGGAGAGGAATACACCCAGCCAGGACCATCCACAGCTGCCCTTGCAGGGGCATTGCCACCTCCCCTGTCACCTGCTCCTCCTCCTCCTCCCAAGCCATCCAGTGTCACAAACATTTGAGTCTCATCTCTATGAGCACTTGCTGTGTGCAATCCTGCACCCCTGTGCTATAGGGACAGTCCCCACAGGAGCAGCTAAGTCTGGAAGGACCTCTGCAGACCCTTTCCAGATTTACTCCAGTGTCACCAACACTCAGACCTAAAGCATGACCAGCCTGTTTGGGAGGAGGGGCTGTGCTGGTTTAGATGCAGGGTAGGGAGCATTTATGCTACCACAGCCCTGTCAGCCCTTTTCCTGGGGACAAGGAGCTCCAGGACAACGAGGTTCTCCTTGAATGCCTTCTGAGATTTAATTTCTTCACCTTGGCCCAAGTTTCAGAGCAGTGACTCAAGGACACACACAATTACACTGTGAGGCACACTGAGGTATTCACTGCATGTTCCAGGCTCCAGTGATTCCGTGCCCACCTCAATTACAGCAGCTTAGCAGAAATTGGTGGCCCCTGACCTCAGAGATGAGTAACAAAATCAGAGCAAGGGAATCACGTGGCGTGGGGAGTAACAGCATCCAAAGGCATCCAAAGGCATCTGAGCCTTTCTTTTGAGTTGCTTCTACAAGAAATTACCAGGGTCTGAAACTTCCCTTCTGAAAGTGCCTGCAGAACAGTGCCAGCTCCTTCCTGCACTGCTGCCAGGCCTGCCACAAACAGCTATTTGTATTTTCACTTTCTGCAGGAATTTGTGTGACTTTTGCATGGGAAACATGGGGGAAAACACCCTCTTGTTACCCCACGGTCTTGTTTTAAGTGGTGACTTGGCTTCATCTCAGTCCTTACTGCCCGTGGATTTCCAGGATACTTGGGGAAGGTGCTGCAGCCACTGATGGAAGGGCCAGCAGTGGATAACCATGTTCTCCTGGGCTCCTGAGCACACCTGCTCCAGGAAACTCCTGCATGGGACAGGGCTGAGGGGCTGAGGACAGCATTGTCCTTCACCATGCTGTGCTCAGAACTGCCAGCAGGCAGCAAGGGACCAGCTTCTAATTGCTCTCTCTGTTCACAAATTCACACAACAAAAAATGATGGATTTCATGCCTTCATGCCACATTTCATGAAATAGAGAGCAGGCAGGAGACTGCAGTGGCAAAACCTCCCAGTCAGATCCAAGCTTAATAACTGAGTGCAATCACCAGGTCCCAGGCTACAAGATAATACAATGACAGCAATGAGGATGTAAAGATAATGATCCACAAGAGCAGTAAGTGGAAAAACAATTGTTATACCCTGAGAGACCATTGAAGGAGTGTTTGACTGATGGTTTTGAAATGACAAAGGGAATTAGAAAGAGTAAACACAGATACAACAACATTAAAACTGAGATTTGGAGCACAGCCCAATATAAAGAGATCTAACATGTCAGTGGTTGAGAAATACGGCACCTGGGCTGAAATTATTTATCACGGGGGGTGTGTGATAAGCACAGCCATTGTTTGTCACAGCCAACAGAAAAAACATGTAAATGAAGCTATAACCTGTCAGGTGATGATGAGGATTTTTGCTGAAGCTGTTCATCTTTCCCTCCTGCTGGGGTCTGACCTGAGCCATGCCCTGAGCCCACCGTGGTTTGCTGACCATGTGTGTTCCCAGCTGCACAACCCCACACCACACCCCATGGGAGCACAGGCAAGATACCTGTCCCTCTTCCACCTCTTGTCCTCTGGTAACACAGTGCAGCTCATCCCACCAACCCTTGTCCTGAGGGATGATGCTCCCAGCTACCAGAGGTATTTTTCAAGCATCCCAAGCCCTTTGGGAAGGCTGAAGTCCTGTCCTGAAGAACAGGAGGAGGCTGCTGGCTGTGCCAGGGCAGGATTTGGCCTCAGGATTCCTGCCTCCAAAACACATCTGCTGAAATTCCAGCACAGGCAGTGACACGAGCACAGGATCCCTGTCTACCCCCACGGGATGCCAAGGGTGCATGAATTAATCAAAGTGGATTCATTAAACAATGCTCAACTCCCTTGTGGCTAATCTCACCTCAATTAAGGCAACCCTCATTTCATTTAGTTTCATCCTCTTGCAAAATTGAAGCGGACAAACCAAGGCACTGGGCTCTAGTATGGATAAGTGAGTCTACAGAGGAGTTTAATGTGATTCAATCACTCCCCTCCAGGCTGACACCCATGTCTCTGCAGGTTTCTGTGCAGGCAGAGCAGCAGGCACTGGCTCGTGGCTCTCTTGGCTCCGTGGAGCAGATCTCACACAGCCAAACACCCGGAGTTCTGAGCCAGCAAAGAAGCCAACAATTCTTGCCCAGCTCTTCACACAGCTCACTGGCTAGAGCCAGCACAGGGGACAGACACGGCCCCTACCTCTGCCCTCCCACACCGCTGCCAACTTTGGCAGCTCCTGCTCCAAAGGTTCCTGCAGGAGCTCCCCAGGCTGCTGCCTCCCTGGGACAATGCCGTGTCTTCAGCCCCAGCCACAGCAGCACCCCCAGCACAGGGTGGCCACCACTGGGCACTGGGGTGCCACAGGGTAAGCTCAGGGATGGCCTGAAGAGATGTCCCAGCCTTGCAAGGGTGACACCTGCCTCTGCCGTGCGGACACCCCCCAGCCTGTCCTGGAGCTCCCGGGGTACTGAGGTGTGGGGCTGGAGAAGGATGGGGCGCAGGGGCATGGAGGGACATGGGATGCAGGGGCGTGGGGATGGAGGGACACGGGGTGCGTAGGTTCAGCGATGGAGGGATGCAGGGATGCCGGGCGCGCCGGCCGGGCTGCCCGCACTCACCGATGGTGGTGATGACCGTGATGGCGAAGTAGAAGGAGCCGGCGAACTTCCACTGGCGGCCGGCGCGGTGCGGCTCGGCCTGCAGCACCAGCCGCTCCAGCTCCCGGTAATCGTCGGCGGAGAAGCGGTACTTCCTCCGCAGCTCCCCGCGCTTCTGCTCCAGCAGCCGCTTGCGGCCGCTCTCCGCCTCCGACTCCAGCGCATCGAAGACCGCGGCGCCCACCAGCAGGTAGGAGAAGATGCAGAGGATGAGCGCGGCCGTGCGCAGGTTCTGCCGCTTCATGGCGAGGGGCGGCCGCCGCGCTCAGCCCGGGCTCCGCATGGCCCCGCCGCCGCTGCCGCCCCCCGCCCGCCCCCCGCGCACCCCCGCACCGCGCACCGCCCCCCGCGCACCGAGCCCGGGCACCGCGCACCGCCCGCGCAGCCCCGCGACCGCGCACCGCCCCCCGCGCACCGAGCGCGCACGGCTCAACCCGCACCGCGCACCGAACCCGGGCACCGCGCAGCGCCTCCTCCCTGCCCCGGGCACCGGCTCCGCCTGCCCCGGCTCCTGGTGCCCCGGGCACCGGCTACTGTGGGCTCCGGGTACTGGCTTCTCCCTGCCCCGGGCACCGGCTCCTGCCTGCCCTGTCACCAGCTTCTGCTGCCCCGAGCCCTCCCAGCCTGGCAGCCCCGGGCAGAGCCCGGCTGCCTGTGAGCCCTAGCGAGGCCACGGTTCATTCTCGTGCCAGTGACAGGAGTAACATCCCCGTCCCCGAAGCTGCCCCTGGATGCTCCCAGGCTGGAGGAGTTTCTTGTGCCTACACCCTCTTGGCTTGCCCTCCCGAAAGCAAGGGCCTTTGGGGCTGTGTGGCTGTCGCCAAGTACCCTGTGGTGTCATCACTGTGCTATCACCCCTGTGGTATCACCCCTGCATGGCCAGCCCTGGTTCCTGCTGCTCTGCCCAGCTCTGGGCTGCTTCACACCCATGGTGCTGAGAAACACTGAGGTGTTACCTGTGTAATCCATTTGTGTTACCTGTGCAATCTATCTGTGTTATCTATCTGTGCAGTGTTATCTATCTGTGTTATCTATCTGTGTTAACTGTGTTAGCTGTGTTGTGCATGTTATCTGTGTTATCTATGTTATCTGTGTTATCTATCTGTGTTAACTGTGTTATCTATGTTATCTGTGTTATTTATCTATGTTATCTGCGTTATCTGTCTGTGTTACCTGCATTATCTATTTGTGTTATCTGTGTTATTTGTCTGCGTTATCTGTCTGCTTTATCTGTGTCATCCTTTTCCCAGCTGGTTACCAGAGCAGAGTCTGGCCTGCTGTGTCCAGTGCTGTTTTAAGAGGGCAGAAAGGAAGAAAAACAGAATCAGCGTATCTGCTTCTTTCTTTGGCACATTGGTGAGAGGCTGCAGGCACAGGGGATGTGGGGCCTGTCCAGCCTGTGCTGTGTGGGGGGCAGTGAGCTCAGCCTCTCTGCACTGATGTGCTGTGGACAGCCCAGGTCAGCCCCAAGGAGCAGGGAAGTTAGCTGTGGTAGGAGGCAGAGCCCACAAATTGAAGACCCTGTTTCTCATTCCTGGTTGCCATAGCTTTTATGTAACTCCTATACTTCACTTTTAAAAATAGAAAGATACTTCTGAGTTGTGTTGAGTTGCAGGCGATAGTATCTCTTTCAGGAAAATAAACTCTTCTTTTGGCTGGGAATAAAACCCACAAGTGAAAAAAACAACAAGGCTTACATCCCTCTTCATCCATCTTGCTTCTCTCTCTGGAGAGGAGAAGATGCTTTGGGATTTAGTTGCACCAATGAAGGTTTGAAGTGGACATAAGAAAAACTTTTAACCATGAAGACAGTGAAACACTGGAATAGACTGGTGGGGGAGATTGTGGCACCCTGTCACTTGAGGAGTTTAAAAATAAGATAAGGAGATGTCTGGGTGTCTGCTGAAAATGCTCTGGGTGCAGTGGGTGCTCTCCTGAAGGAGGGGGTGACTCAGTGCTCTCCTAGAGCCCCGTCCATCCCTGTCCTCAGCATTGCCATGGCCAGCAAAGGGACACAGTGGCCTTTTCTACTGTAATTGTGAACTCTTTTTCACCCTGGCCATTTGCCACTTCCCTCCTCCTTGCTGAGCCTCCGTGCCAGCACCATTAGTGAAAGTTGTTACTGGAGAAAAAATAGACTCCAGCATCCATCAGGAGCAGCAAAGCTGTCGGGTGCTGCTCAACATCTCAGAGCTTGCAGGCTCCTAAATCATGGGGCAGAGCCTCTGCTGGAGGAATGTGCCTGCTTTGTGTTCTCAGGGCCTGGGATGCTGTCAAACCTCCAGCCCCAGGCATGTGTGGGCCTCCTGCTCATGAAGATGCACTTCACCTGGTGCTGGTAATTTTTTCCACTGGTCAGCAATGACTTTCCACCTTGGAGACAGGAGCCAGAGCTGCTAACTGAGCTTCTGTTGCTTCCATTACAGAGGAAGGAGATCTTATGATGATTGCCTCTCTAGGTGCCTGTCACACATATTTTACGAGGAGTTCTGGGACCTGCAGTGCCTTGCAGATCAAATTCTGGGGTCCCTGGGTGGTATTTGATGCTGTAGCCTGTTATTGAAAGGCAGCTGCTCTGTGCAGATGTTGGGCCAATGTGCCATTGTAGGTTACAGCCAGGAAAACCCTGGGAGATGCTCTCCACCAGTGGGTGACAATAGGCACCAAGTGCTTGCCCAGTCTCTTTAGGAGCAGCATCAATCTCAGCTGATCATCAATTTAATCCTGCACAGTTTGTTTCCAAACCTGTGTTTGTGATGAGAGCCAGCAGTGCTTGGGCAGAGATGGTACAGCATGGCTTTCCCAAGTGCTGCCTACACAGAGAGGGGTCTGTGGGTGGCATTTGCCCCTCTGTGGGGCTGGGGATACTGGGTACAGGAGGAACATCTCTGCTGACACAGTATGAGCAGCTCTCAGTGCTCCCTTCTGCTAGCCCTGTCCTCTCTGTGGCTTGTGGTGGGCTGACCTTGGCTAGCTTCAAGGTTTTCTCCTGGCCCCAGAAGAAATCTTTACCTTGCAGGGTCTTGGAACTTCCCTCAGCATGGCCTTTCCCTGCTGCCCTGGGAGTTACAGAGATTGGGATGTCATTGATTTCCCCTTTTGGGGCTTGCTTTGACCTTTTGCAGGTCAGAAGTGTAGAATAAATGCTGCTCTACAGGAAAAAGAGTAGCAGGATCCATCTCCTAATGAGAATCCCCCAGTAACAAGCCAGGGCTGTGTTTGGAGTGGGACTGGAGGCTTCAAAATTCAGGCTGGATTCAGCCTGCTCTGCCTCTCACTGCTCACACACTGCTTTTTCCTGCCTGCAGTGATCACAGGGATGGGTGACACCAAACTGTGTCAGATGGCTGTTGAGGAGGGCCATCCTGTCCTGTTCTCCTGAGGCACAGGAAAGTTTCACACTTTCCTGCTGGGAAACCATAAGTTCATCCTTTGTGTTTTCCTGGACTTCACTCTGCTTGAGGAAGGTCAAGCTGGAGCCGTGGGCTCAGGGCAGGCAAGATAATGTACTTTATCATTGATTTTCAGTGAGAAGTTGCATTATGAGATTAAATGTCTCATTTTTATTGCATGGGGAGGCAAAGAAAAAGCAGGAGCTCTGAAAATAAAGCCTAAGTCCAAGTGCTGTGTTTGTGTGGGGAGGTGCTTGTGACTGGGAGGGAATGTGCCTTTTCCCAATCCTTTGGAGGTGAATTTTGAGAAGCTGCTTCCTCTGAGGCTGGTAAACAAAGTCAAACCTCATCTGTGTTTAAACCAGTGCCTAATTAATGTGTCTAATTGGCCCACATCTACTAATTCCAGGCTGGCAGGGAGTTTATTAAAAAGCTTTTCTAGTTCTAATGGATTGAAATAAGCAAAGCTGCTTAGCAGTCTCAGATGAAAAGCACTAAACAGGGAACCAGTTGTGTGGGTCTGCTTGAGTCAATCCCAAACCCCACCAGGTGTCAGCCCCTTCCCTGGTTCCACCTGCAAGGTGCTCCAGTTCTCTGAGGGCTTGGGGAGCATCCTGATGTACTCTGCTTCTTTTGGTTATTTTTAAACACCAAATTGATGTTTTTGTTTGCTTTAGTAAAAGCATCAGCTATTCTAGCTTTAATGCCATTTATACTTAGATTATAGATAGCCTGGGAAAGCCACAGGGTATTTCTAAATCAATGGATTAGTTAATTTCCAGAAAGTGTTAGGTGTCAGGGTATGAATAACAACAAGCTGCAGGTGCCCAGGTGATGTCCTCCTAAGCCACAGCAGACTCCAGGCTCAGCTGGGCTGCCCCCTGCCAGGCAGCACCATGAGCTGGGCACAGGGAGAGATCCCTCCTGTCTGCATGCAGGGCCATGGCAATGCCTTCCTCTGCAGACACAGCACCCCTGACTGCATCCAGGCTGGATGGAGTGTTTGCTTCTGTCCCATGACTCCACAAACCATCCTATAAAACATCCTCCTGCATGCTGGAGCTGCCTTGGAGCTGTCCTTTGGCCATGCTCAGAGTTACTGCAGGCTCAGGAAGCTCACAGCTTTCCCTGGGCTCTGAGAATTCCTGCTGCCTCCTTCCTGGGCTCTTTGGAGCTTGGATGGCTGCAGGCACTTTGCTCTGCATTGTGGTGTGGAAGTCAGCAAGGAACCAATGAAGCATTGGATGTAAACTGGTTGTAAATGCAGATTGCCTCCACGTGCTCTCCCATGGAGGTGACTTCCAGGTTTCCAACCCCAGAGCAGCTGGACACAGTTCCACCTGTGACTGTCTTCAACCACCTTACCCAGTACCAGCCAGGCTAAAGCTCATCATGCCACCTCCTAATAGCCCAGAACTCATTGGGAAGCCTTCCCCAACTACCTTTCCTACCCAAAATGGGTTCTGTGAGGGGACACACAGCCCCATCCTCCCACCCCGCTCCCCGCAAGCAGCCTGATCTGCCAGTGCTTGTACACAAAGCAGACCTGGGCTGGAAATGCTGACAGCACTCTTGAGAGTGGATGGTCACAAACTCTATTTTCAGCCTAATAAGTTTTTTATATGCTTGGAAAGCTGTCAGTTGAACATCAGCCAGGCACAAAGTACCTGCCATAAAGTGCCTGGACCACAACCAAACGGGAAAGGTGCTGCTCTGCTTTAGCAACTTCTTGATCTTGGACGCTTTAGTTCAGTTCATTTATTTTGTTTGAGGATCTTGGCTTTAATTATAAAATAATAAGATAAAATCATAATGCCTCTACATAAAAATCTGTGGAAATATTTGCAGAGAGCCTGTTAAATCAAAGCTGTTGGCCAGTCAGGATTGGGTTTTGGGGAGACCCTGGATCCCTGGGAT